CTAGACACCCCAAAAAGCTGCCGCAGCAGTTCTGGTTTGCTGCTGCTGAAGCTCTTCTCACGCAGCAGCAGCAGCAGCAGCAGCAGCAGCAGCAGCAGCAGCAGCAGCAGCAGCAGCAGCAGCACTTTGCTGCCGCAGCTGCAGCCAGAGCACTGCAGCACAATAGCGAATGCTTTTGCTGCTGCAGGAAGACCCCACCCCCGTCTGTTTGCTGCTATCAACGAGAGATTCGCAGCAGCAGCAGCAGCAGCAGCAGCAGCAGCAGCAGCAACACCACCAGCAGCAGCAGCAGCAGCAGCAGCAGCAGNAGCAGCAGCAGCAGCAGCAGCAGCAGCAGCAGCAGCAGCAGCAGCAGCAGCAGCAGCAGCAGCAGGAGTGGTGGTGTGTGGCCTGCTGTTATCGGCAGCAGCAGCGGCTGCGATCTTTCTATGATTTTTTCTGCTCTTGCAAAGCTGCATATACACCCGGGAATGTTGCTGCTGCAGCTGCTGCTGCAGCGACTGCAGCAGCTGCTGCAGCAGCAACTGCTGAAACAACAGCAGCAGCAAAGGAGGCTGCAGCAGCAGCAGCAGCAGCAGCAGCAGCAGCAACATCCTCTAGATGGCCGCAGTGCTGCGAACATATGGGCTTCCCTGCCGCAGTTGCAGAGCTTGCAGCAGCAGCAGCAGCACCTGCAGCAGCAGCAGCAGCAGCAGCAGCAGCAGCAGCAACTGCCGCTGCTGCTGCTGCAGCTCAGTGATGTGCTGCGCATGCATATTGCGAGCGGAGACATCACTGCTGCGGAGGTTTCCCTGGTAGCCAATGCGATGCCGAAACTCATGCTGCTGCTGCAGCAGCAGCAGCAGCAGCAGCAGCAGCAACTGCAGCAGCAGCAGCAGCAGCAGGTGGGATTGCAGCTGCAGCTGCAGCAACAGCAGCAGCAGCAGCAGATGGGATTGCAGCTGCAGGTGCAGCAGCAGCAGATGGGGTTACAGCTGCAGCAGAAGCTGCAGCAGCAGCAACAGCAGCTGCTGCAGCAGCAGCAGCAACAGCAGCTGCTGC